TGCTTCCAAGGCAATTGAGGATGTAGTTCTGCCGGTGCCAACCTGCCTGCCTCTCCTCTCAACCAACTGTTCAGCAGCTGAGCAGGGATATTGATCTTCCCACCTCATCACTGGAGTGGTCAGCTGAGGAGAGAGGCAGAGCAGTGCAGTTGGGACTATGTCCACTATTCATGTGATGTCGCCACTGTTCAGGGCGTGCAAGTGTTTCTTTGTTTTTATTCCTGCCTTCTTCCAGCAAGCTCAAGGCAGCCTATACCACTGTTCAGGGTGTGCAAGTGTTTTTTTATTTGTTTTTATTCCTACCTTCTTCCAGCAAGCTCAAGGCAGCCTATGTGGCACTCTTTTTCCCTGTTTTATTCTCACAACAGTTCTGTGAGATAAGTCAGGCTGAAAGAGTGACTGGCCAAAGGTTGCCCAAGGGTGGCTCAGTGGGGAATGAGAAGGTGGCTCTCACAAGTCCCAGTCCAGCACTTTGACCATGACACCATACTGGTTCTTGAAGATGACTCAATAAGACCAAACACTGGTTTCACATTGGGAGTGAAGAACCAATGGCAACGGAGGTTTTCAGCTTCCATTTATGTAGGTTGACATTAAGAGCAGGAAAATAGTAGCTCCATAGTCAGAGATGAGAAGGCATTGAGATGGGAGTGGAGAACAGAGGGGGAGAAATCCCTTTTGTTTCCTCTCAGAACAATGTGTTTCTCTTCCCCATCTGCCTCTGTCCATTTTCCCCTCAGGCCTTCACACATCTAATCTGGGAGTCCAGTTACCAAAAGTGACTGCTTCACATTATTGCAAAGAAAGGCTGCCTTTTAGCACAAGCTTTCCACAGAGAAGAAACTAACCTGACTTTGCCCGCTGCCTGTTTGTCTCCATCCTGAAACTAAAACTAAGCAACCAACTAGGTTTTATTTGAATCCACGAACAGGCCAAGTCTATATATTACACTATTCATGGTGAATGCCCAAGGGAACCCTAGAAAGCCAATGTGTATCCCGGAGTTCCACTCTGCAATATATTTGTCCCTGAATCAACATCAAACCCACTTGAACGGCTGCAAGAGCTGTAGAGCAGAATGGCCTTTTCTCCCCCTCTGCTTCGTGTGCTAAAAAATGAAGCATGCCCTCTACGAAGAAAACTGATCTCAAGAGACTGTGATCTTGCCAAACTGCAGGAGTTGCTCTCTAATTCGCAGTGTTCATAGTCAAGTCCCCTGGCGGTAACTGGATTTCCTAAATTTATTGTTGGAATGTGGATAGAGTATAACAGTTATCAGCCAAACCATTCATGATGAAAAGAAACCACCTTCAAGGGAAGGACATTTCAGTTCACAACATCTTAAACTAGATTACTTCAGATATAAAGTGAAGTGTAATTTATTTTTCACCAAAATTTGTTGATCAAGTCAAACTCATTTTTAGGAATGCTTGACAAAACCCAGATATGTTTCCCTTAGAGTTGGATTATTGTCCCTCTATCCCCCCCTGTGAATGTCTAGTTCATATTTTTGTTGTTGTTTAGTCATTAAGTTGTGTCCGACTCTTCATGACCCCATGGAGCAGAGCATGCCAGGCCCTCCTGTCTTCCACTGCCTCCTGGATTTTGGTCAAATTCATGTTGGTAGCTTCGATGACACTGTCTAACCGTCTCGTCCTCTGTCGTCCCCTTCTCCTCCTGCCTTCACACTTTCCCAACATCAGGGTCTTATCCAGGGAAATTTCTCTTCTCATGAGATGGCCAAAGTATTGAAGCCTCAGCTTCAGGATCTGACCTTCCAGTGAGCACTCAGGGTAGTTCATATACCAAAGCCATAAATGGCATTAAAATTGGTCCTTTTCAGAGATCTTTGCCCATTATTGCCATGCTTCTGAGTAGAAAAACTGTCCTCAACAGTTCTAAGTAAGTAAATGAGTACCCTGCCCTTGTCTCCTTGGAAAAAAGTTGAAATAATACAGTAATAGATAAAAGAAGACACATTTTGAGAGACCCTCAGCTCCCCCAATCTGTGTTGCTGTTCCATAATATTTTTTTAGCTTTGAAACAGAGCTGTATGGTCTGGGGGGTTCAATCAGGTTGGTGGTATTGGGAATGGAGTTTTCTGGAACCAGACCACCATTTTCTTTGGAGATGAAAGGGTGGCCCAGGTGTTAACAAGGTCAGCATGTTATTTTTCCCTTGAGCAAAATAACTGACTCTTTGGCACTGTAGAAATACCCCTGTTGACAAAGAGGGCAACCCATCTCCCTGCCTCCAGAGGCATAAAACAACCTGTGTGCTATAATCTGAAATGCACCAGCCACAAACATTCCCCATGCCCACAAAACACACTCATGAACAAGAGACTCTTCCAGCAGTAGAGTCATGACTAGGGGAGGCAGAGAAAGGATTGCTTGTTGGCATTGCTTGCCTGGCACTTTCTGGATGCTGGCGTCCATTACTTGCGGTTGGTTTCCACCAGGCTCCTCTGTAGGCCTTCAGGAGTTCAACAAAAGCTTAAAGCTAGTGTGGTTTTGGCACCACGTTCCTTTCTAAATCAGCCTCTAATGCTAAAAAAACATGCTACAGAATGTATGATTGGCCCTTTGATGCTGTATTCATCTAAAGGTTCTAAATAAATCTCCATAGCCCTCAACATATGCTATACAGTAGATATCTGTATGTTCCTAGGACACGGAAGCCACCTAAGGCCCTTTGAAATTTAATAGCAACTTTTTAATTAAAAACTGTATGTATATTTTTGGACAGGTGGCCTGAATAAAGAGACAAGGTGTAGGCCCCAGCTCAAGTGGCACGTTGGGTGGTATGCATTCCACTTGTCCACTTCTTATCCAACTCTCCTTCCTCGTAACATTTTTACCTGACTCCTCACTGCACTGCTTGCTTAAAAAGGATTAGAGATGCATAGCCACTCTTCAACCCCCCCACTGCCCCCCAAAGGGGTTGAGGCTTTTTTAGTGTTCCAACCAAACATTTAAAAAGGGTTCCTTCGTTGGCCTAAAGATACATTCCTTGGCCAGGTGAGATGGGGAAAACATCAGGGTTCAATCACAACTGAAGTAGACATATTTTCCTGCTTGCACATAGTCAAGGGATTTGCCTCAGAGAAGAATTCCTATTAGAATATTTGCACATCTTTTTATTCTGGAGGACTTCGTTTTGGATAATACTGCTGCCCTCTGAATGACCTCCTTCTATGTGTGTTCCCAGGATTAAAGGTCTTTGAAGAAGACTCCACTGATACCCTGATACCCTCACAAGCCCATCTGGTGAGATATGAGAGGGAGTACTCCTCTGTTCCAGCTTCAAGGATATGGAACACCTACAAAAAGGCCCAGTTGGTCCCCACTTTGCCATCCCTCTGTCAGCAGGCGAGGAGTGTCCTCTAAGCCAGTGGTCCCCAACCTTGGGCCTCCAGATGTTCTTGGACAACAACTCCCAGAAGCCTACACCACCACCTCTTCTGGCCAGGATTTCTGGGAGTTGAAGTCCAAGAACATCTGGAGGCCCAAGGTTGAGGACCACTGCTCTAAGCCAGGCTTCAGGCAACTGAAGAGGCTACTGAGAAAATATATTTTAATGGGGCACTCTTTACTTACTTCTAACGTATTTTCGAAGTGTTTTAAAATTGTTTTACGCTAATGGTTGTTTTAATATTATTATTGGCTTAATTCCATTGTAGTGTTAGAAGTTGCTGTGTTTTTACTTGTACTATTTTAAAAATCTTTTAAAGGCTGCCTTGAGTCCTTGTATTGAAAGAACTGAAAATTAAAAATGAAAAAAATGCTTAAGTAAATAGGAGGAACCTGGTATGTTCTTGGAAACCCCTCTTCATCCACCAAAGGATAAGCTATGAAGTGCTGCAGACAGGAAGAAAGCCAACTGGAACATTTGGCATTTCAGGTACAAAACATGGAAAGAAGTAATTCTCAGCCAGTGTGGGTCATTGATGAACTCTAAGTGGGATTCAGGATTTTCATGACAAGTATCAAGCATCTACTCCTACTCAATCTCCATGTGTTTCTCCAGCTACAACCTTCTGACATCATAGCAGTAGCCTTGGGCACTCTGTTTTAACTAAGCCTGTTTTCCCTGCCCGCTAATATACTGTAAAGTACAGTAACAGAATACCTGTAAACATACACACATCCATATGGGCGAAAGTAAGATTTCTGATTTTATCATGCTCAGAAAGGGACTGGAGTTCATTTCTGCTAGTTTTCAAAATTTGTTTGTTTGTTTGTTTAAATAAATAAATAGGAAAGATGAAAGGTATCAAAAGTTGAGAAACACTCATATAAAACAAACGTGGCAAAAATGTACAGTCTAGAAAGTTCTGGATGTGCTGAGGAACTTAAGATGTTCTCGATTTAAGTGAGATTTGTTTGGCATGATTTTTGAGGGGCTGGGGGAAACTCGTTACCTGTAACTTCAAATTTGATCCCCAGTTTATTTGCACCACTTCCTCAAAGGGTTAACTGAGCTGAAGGACAGTTAATCTCTCCTCAGAATAATTTTCTCCATCCCTTTGGGTCCCTTCATGTTAATACAATATACCAAGATGGCACCAGTCTTTTCTTTGCTGGGAACTGTCTGTCTACAATTGCCTACAAAATATGTTTCCCTTCAGCAGCAAAGTAGGAAGCCTAGCCTTCCTTCATTTATCAGGAAGTGAGTCTCTTTACTCAACAAAACAACCTACCAGTCAGATTATTGTCTCCCAGCTTTCTCTCATGCACACTGGAGCAACTATTGCAATGAAACCCTGGTGGATAGAGTTAACTTCAGCATCAACAGAAGGCTTTGCCCATTGTTTCTTAAATATTGAAAATGAGAATTAACCAATTAGATCTTTTTCATCTTCTTTATTTTCTGTTTCATTTACTATGTGAGATGTTATAATAATACAGACAGTTGTAAGGTCCAAAAGAGACATTCCTGATTATGCTGATAAATTTTCTTTTAATTCATAACAAATAAACACATGCTATAAAGGCTGAGCAACTCTGTCTATGATATACCATGCATATGGTACAAAATGGAGATCAGGCCTGTGTCACATGGGAATGGGACCTCAGCCCACCAGGGACTGAAAAAAAACTGACACTGGTACTGCAGTAAACAACTCAAATGCTTTGATTACCTAAAGTGTTGTGTGTACAACACACTGTCCAAATAATAATAATAAAAAATCCGGTCCCAAGCTACTTAGCTTTAGAAAAAACAAATTTCTGCATCCTAAAATATGTAAATTGAACAATTGCCATTACTCTTCATATTCTACATAGTTTATATTGTTTTATTGTTGTTGTTCCTTTGAATGTTTTATTATGGTTTTGGCAGTCACAACAAGACAAAGATGTTGAATCCCATTGCTCTTCCCAAAAATACTTTTTCAATTTTCTTTGTGGCATGGAAAACATGTAGCTGCTTCAATCCACTACATGCTTTTAAGAATATCTTCATAGGCATGAGAAGTAGAAATGTGCTATTTTCAAATTAAAGCCAAGATTCTTAGGAAGCTGGATTTTTTTCACCCTGTCCTCTCAAATTGTGACATCTAGAAAACCCTGGCTCTAACTTTGCATGAAAAGATGGAAGTTGCTTCTGGTGAACTCCTGATGGATTGTGTTGAGCAAAGTATCTGAATCCTGTGTTATCTCTGGTAGGGTTGGAGGTCCTGAGAGGAAATTCTGTTCTGGTGTGTAGGTGAAGCTGAAAGTGCTGGAATAAATCAGACCATCATTCCTTAGCAGCAAGAGAGGGACAGTAATAGGGTATCTGAACCATCTCCAGTCACAGCTAAAAGCAGAGACATCAGGAACAACACATACCAAGGATTTGGGACTTCTAAAATTAAAACAAGAAAAAAAAGATGTGATTTCAACCCCCCCACTCCTACTGAGATTCTACTGAACAGAAAGTCCTGCTCACACAACAATGTGGAATGGCACTGCTTTACTGGCATGTGTCACTGTTGCACAAGTGACTGGTGTGTTTTCTCTATGGAGATCACCACTTGTGCAATGGCAATGCTTGTGCAAATGAAGTAATCTTGCATTCCTGCACTGGCAGGACTTTCCACTGAGCAGAAATGGAACAGTACTTTATGCAAGCCCCAGAATTTCATATTAATTTAGACCAACTAGACTTATACGTACAAGTAACGTCTGTATAAGGATCACAGGCAGTATGGTTCCAAATACAGGTTTTTGGGGAACATGAGTGGGAGGCAGATCTTGCACATGCCTGTGGGTCTCCCAAAGGCAGCTGGTCTTCCCCTGTGGTAAATGGGATGTAGGACAAAATAGTCCTTTGGTCTAACCAAACAGGGTCTTCTGTACTGTTATGTTAACTAAATGGCAGGTGTCATTCAATTAACATAATATGATGCCTGGATTTGTTATGACCTTGCTATTTCTAATCTTCACTTAATAGACCAAAACTTGCTTTGTTCTTTGAACTCTCTCTCTCTCTCTGTGTGCACATATAAGTACATGTGGATCTGTGACCATTTTAGTCTAAAGTAGGAAGTCATAAGCAAATTTGTCTAGTGTGCACATGTGCGTGCACATGCGTTTGTGCACATGCGTGAACTCTCATGTGAAAAAGAGAAAGACAGTGAAAGTTCTTGCAGTGGCCACAGAGAAAAACCTGCATAGAGACATAAATCCAGTTCCTGTTCCAACTAAAGTAGACCCACGGAATCAATTACAGAATGGTGAGTCAACATTTATGTAAATCTCCTTGATTCAAGGGATCTACTGTAGGACTAGAAACTGGCTTTTGGGCAGTGGTGTTATATGTCTACTGCTGTGTAATCAATCAACACATGTTCAGTTCTGACTGTCAAGTTTCATTATGGATACATTTCTTAGAACCAAAATCCTGCTGGCATTCAGGTACCATCTCAATTCTGCATTGAATTGCGAGATTTAATTTTTCTTCCCACCTGGAAATTTCTGCACATTTTTACTGCATTTTCTTTTCTAAAGCCTGCATCCATCCCAATTTTCTGATTGCCATAAATATATTTGACTGCATTTAGCTGTGTATCTTCTTCAAATGTACACATGTTTTTGTGTGCATTTTCTCTTTGCTGCAACACAGGACAAATCTTAGAAGTGGACAGATTTCTGGGGGAAGATGAGCTTCCTCTTATTGCCAGTCTCGGGACATTCAAGACAGATCTTTTCATGATGAAATGCAAAGCTGAAATAGTGATTTCTAACCATTTTAAATATGTTGGAAATGGTTGCATAACAGTTGCTGATGTTGATGCATAGCTTCCTAGTGGGATTTTCTTACTACTGGCCACAGAAGAAGACATGTTGTTTGAATGTGGCCAAAGAACAGGGCTTCCCAACTCAACATACCTTATTTTCACAACAGTCTGTTTCTCTGCTTTACCTGAACATCGTCTCAGCTTCCACATCTCCAAACCAAACCTTCAAGTTTGCATGGAAGAACTCGCCCTGCACTTCTAGCATTGCTACATCCCCACCACCTGTCAGCTGTGAGAAGCAGACACAATCACAAGGGAGAGGATTAACTCAGGATCAAAACTCACCTAAGGCAAATACATATTTCATCTTCTTACAACAGCTGTTCCTACAGGGAAGCAAATCTTTCAGTGCTAAGGTGCTTCAGACAAGAGGTCTGCAAACAAAGCTAATCTGTCTCCCAAAGGATCAAGAGAAAGAAGCAATGAAGGGCATAACTTGGAGATGGAGAACCTGCACTTATATTGCCAACCTCCATTTCTTACAATACCTGACTACTAGTCATGCTGGCTTGGACTGATGGGAGTTTGCAGGGTCTTCCTTAACTCTGGTGTAAGAGAAACAGCTGGTGGCGATGTAGGAAAGGGTAAATTATATGAATGCCTGTTCTAACATAGGAGAGTCCTTTTGGGGAGAAAGGGATTAAAATGAATCAATCAATCAATTCTGTAATTAATTTGAGAAATTATATCATCGAAGGAAAAACTCTTATTGCCTGGTTCAGTGAAAAGGTTGACTATCTTGACCCTAGTAGTAAAGAATACTTAATCTATTCCAAATAATCCTGTGTGGCTTTCCAGAAAATTGGAACACCAGAAGGATTTTCCTGAATTGTATTCCCTAAGTTTCCCAAAGTTCAGGACCTGATTTGTCTGTCAAAAAGCCTACAGCCAGCTAGGCTGGAAATGAGGTGCTGCGCATACCTCTAGAGCTGTTATGAGAGGGACTGGGCTCACAGGATCACAAATGGCACTGAGGTTGTCACTGAATGTATATTCCACAGTCTCTGTCCCAATGATGGTCCAGCAGGAGCTATCATTCAACAATTCCCGATTTGCTTCCTTTGGACATGGAGATGCCTGTATAACCATCAGCCACAGTGAAAATAAAGGAAAATAAAAATTGCCATAAAATAAATTCCAACTTATGGTGACTCACGCAAGAGTTTTCTAGGCACAAAGCCCTAAGGAGTGTTTCCCAATCCTTCCTTCTGGGGGTGCTCTGAGACCATGCAGCTTGCCCAAGGCCACACAGGTGGCAAGGCGCATAACCCTACCAGTCACACATGCTCAGGATGATGTCAGCTGCCCCCACTTCTGGAAGACACTGACTCTGGTTCCCAGTATAGCCAGGCACTACAACCCATTGAACTATACTAGCTAATCAATAACAAAAGGGGCTATTTAAGCACACTGAACTATACAGAGACCACAGGGTACAAGAAGGGTTCTGCAGCTCCCGATCGCCATCTAAGACATACTGCTGCATCTTCTGTTTGTTACAGAGAGTCTTTGGCAGTATGATCCTATATTTTGGCAGTGTGATGCCAAGGTGGTAGGGCTGGAAGGAGCTGGCCACCGCACTACTATGAATTGCTAACCCATTAACAAAGCCCTACTTCATGTTGGGGTTGCTGCTATTCTCTACTTATGTTTAAAGACTGGAATTGAGCAGATCATGTGCTGATTTAGAGACTTACACAGCCTATAACTTTCCCTGTTTTATTTTATCTTGCTGAGATAATGCTACTCCCCAGAAGAAAATGGCAGCAATTTCTCTTCCAGTGCTCTGGTTGCAACCAACCGATTATTTGTCATGAACAGAAAACCCTGTTTTGCACACCACCATACAATGATAAGGAACACAGCACTGTCTGCATATGTTTTGTATGGAAAAAGACTTACACAAGGTTGGAAAGCAAACACTCATCACTCCATGAGTGAAAGCAAATAGTACCCATCATTTGATAGCTGCTGTAGCTATAGATGAACATCTATTTTACAGGTGTCATTTTCAAACAGTTACATTTGAAGATAGGTCTCCATTATACTGGTGTCTCTGCTTAGCCCATGGTTATATTCTATGTACTCTCCTCTTTCCTTTCTCTCTTTTTGCTTTGATTTTGCAATGAACATGTTAATTTTAATTTTAACAACATTGAGAGGACTCCTTGCTTCAGAACTGATCTCTTCAACTTAAAAGCAGAAATGAGGAGGAGGAGGAGGGATGGGACATAATAAATTGTGCCCAATGAGAGGATCAAGGAGTATGCAGGATCTTTCTTTACTGGCAAAAAACCCTACACCTCCCAGTGAAATCATACTCTGGTTATATTAATGGCTGTATGATTTCACTGGGAGGTGAAAAGTTGCATTTTTGGACTGTAGGTCCCAGAATCTCCCCATCAGGATGACCACAGAATATAAACATTTCCAAATTCTGCACAGCCTCTGGGAGATTCTTCCGATCTGAATTTTTGTTCTGTTGTTCCTTATCCCCATTACCTGGAACTGGATCACTTTCTCTGCGGAGAGACAGAGGTACATGCCGTCACTGCCATGCAGCTGGAAAGCACATTTATGCAGCTGGGAGATGGGTTCATCTACATCCAACATCACAGACTGTTTCGCAACTTTCCGAATGATCTAGGGAAACAAATATACGTGTGGGCTGACAACACTCAATATCAACTGTCCAACTCCACAGGGAATGTAAGACATTTTGCATTTCTGTCCCTTCTTCCTACAGTTTCCATGCAGATGAATGCTCTTTCACTCAGGTGCTATTCTTCAGATGTAGCAGCCTCGACGTATCAGGCTTCTACTTGCATTTTATCAAACTATAGCAAAATATACAAATGTAAAAGAGTTTATTGCATTACTTGTTTAGAATCCCCAACAAATAATGTCTTGCTTTACTTGGTGTAAAGCCAGAGGAAATGGTGTTTTATTTTTACTTATTATGCAGTTCATTGGGAATGGGGAGAACAGTATTACCCCTTATAACTTACTGTAGTTGTACGAGGTGGCTGGAGAGGTTTAATCTGTTTTCTTAGCCATTAAATAAGGGCTCTTGGGTACAGCACAGCCCCATTCCCTGCTTCCATCTATTTCACACTGCAGACTTAAGAGTGCTGTGAAACAGCAGGAAGTGGGGCCGGCTGGCTGGCTGACTGCCTGGCTGCCAGCCATACTTCCTGAAGAGTGCTCTGCTTTGTGTTGCTGAGCCACGCCAGGAAAGGGTTAAAAAGATACTGATTCCCCACCCCAACTGATGACTTTTCCAGTTGTTAATGTTTTTCCAGAAAGGGAACATTTTAATGACCCTTTTCACACAAACCATGCTTTTTGGTGATCCTGTTACTCATTGTGCATTGCCCCTAAGCTCTGCTTCACATCTGCTTGGGTGCTGCCTGCAGGCACCTGTTCTATGCAATATAATATCACACAAATGTGGCCATTATTAAATTTTACATATCATTAATTGCATCCTTTTTGCTTCTTTTACTGCATACCCAACTCCAATAGATAATTTACAACATGGTGGGAGAAAGGTCCCCTATTTATGGATGTTATCCAGTGTTGTTAATGACTCCTGCCTTGCAAGGCCTGGGGAGTAAATGTAAGAAGTCATCCTGCTAAAGGAGGGAGAAAACCTAATTCCTCAATTAAACCTTTGGGAGCCAATGTACCCAGTCTCAATATCCAGTCAATCTCCCTTTCCAACACAGCCTTATAATTACTTGTGTGGATAGCATCTATAGCCCATAACTGCAAATCCTTTACATTTTTTAAAACTTTCTTTTCTTTGTACAGTCCCTGATGGAAGCCATAAATTATATATTTACATCCTGAGGTTACCCCACATGGTTGTTGTTATTTAGTCGTTTAGTCGTGTCCGACTCTTCGTGACCCCATGGACCAGAGCACGCCAGGCCCTCCTGTCTTCCATTGCCTCCCGGAGTTGGGTTAAATTCATGTTGGTCGCTTCGATGACACTGTCCAACCATCTCATCCTCTGTCGTCTCCTTCTCCTCTTGCCTTCACACTTTCCCAACATCAGGGTCTTTTCCAGGGAGTCTTCTCTTCTCATGAGATGGCCAAAGTATTGGAGCCTCAGGTTCAGGATCTGTCCTTCCAGTGAGCACTCAGGGTTGATTTCCTTTAGAATTGATAGGTTTGTTCTCCTTGCAGTCCAGGCGACTCTCAAGAGCCTCCTCCAGCACCACAATTCAAAAGCATCAGTTCTTCGGCGGTCAGCTTTCTTTATGGTCCAGCTCTCCCTTCCGTACATCACTACAGGGAAAACCATAGCTTTGACTATTCGGACCTTTGTTGGCAAGGTGATGTCTCTGCTTTTTAAGGTGCTATCGAGGTTTGTCATTGCTTTCCTCCCAAGAAGCAGGCGTCTTTTAATTTCGTGGCTGCTGTCACCATCTGCAGTGATCATGGAGTCCAAGAAAGTGAAATCTGTCACTGCCTCCATATATATATATAACTGTCACAACATCTGGATGGAACACATGTACAATATGAAGTGTAATCCAAGTAACTGTTACAAGTTAGATTTGTTCCCTTGGGTTGCTAAATCTTACCAGAGGAGGCAGTGCCATGCCAGTGGCTGTGCAGATAAGCCGGACTTTGGAACCATAGCGAATGTAGCCTTCCTGCCGGGGGAATTCGCCCCGAGACTGTGAACAGAAGTCATCTGCTCAACAGAGGGAAGGGAGGGAAAAATGAAGTGAGTGAAAACATGAAAGGCAAAGCGCAGGATGTAGAATTAACATTAGTGCCTAGTTTGATGAAAAGGACCTCTAGGATATAATGGTGAAACTGGCTCAGATACTTCCTTTAGACATGTCGCTATCAATTCGTTTATAATTTGTTTAGTTGACTTTCTGGATAACAGCAAACTTCTAGAGTAGTGGTTCCCAACCTTGGCTAATCCAGGTGTTCTTGGACTGCAATTCCCAGAAGCCTTCACCACTAGCTGTGCCGCCCAGGGCTTCTGGGAGTTGCAGTCTTACTTGCATGTACAGCCTGAATGCCATGAGCAAACCTCTCCTAGTTTGACTCAGTGTAGAACGTGTGAAGAAAGCAAGAACAGAGTGGGTGTGGCTAAGTACATCCATCTAAGTATGTTCACAGTATGAGATTGCATAATGTCTGAATAGGGCTCAAGGTGCCACCAGGCAACTGCTGCCTCAGATGTGTCTCATGGTAAGGCTGTCCTACATCTTGAATAGTCCAGAGAGACTGCTGTATGAAGAACAGCAAAGTGTGCTACTTCTATACCCCCCATAGTGCTGAAAACACTTTCTGGGTGGTATACAATTTAACTATATAGGCTACACATTGACCAACACCCCAGCAAGCTGGGTACTCATTTTATCAACCTCAGAAGGATGGAAGGCTGAGTGAAGCTTGAGTTGGCTGTCTGAATCCGGTGGGATCAAACACCGACAGTAAGCAGAGTTTTGACTGTAAAATTACAGTTTAACTGTGCCACGAGGCTCATCTATATATAAACCATGCTACCCCCACCCCCAAATTGACACCTGGATCCCAGAGTCCACAAGGAGGTCTCTACCCCCCCCCCAAAAAAAACACCTTGCTGTTCTTCTCAGATGGTGGGAAATGGGCTTCCAGCATCTCTGGCTTAAGTAGGTGCACCAGAGCCTCGGTAGGGAAGGCTGTCAGGTGTGTGCGCCTGTGTGTGAGGAGGGAAAGGGATACCACACTGCAAGTAGCAACCCACAGCGTAACCAAATCACTGCCAGTTTTGTGACTACTGTACTGCTGTCTGTCCCCAGTCACCTTGTCAAACAGTTTCATGAAGGGATGAAACAAATTCACAGAGGTAGAGAAGATAACAGACTTCTGACACCCGGTGGCTGTGGAGTCTGACCAGAGCTCCTGCACTTACAGGCAGCACAACCCCACAGGTGCTTTGTCGCAACCGCTGGCTGGCCCCAAGAAACTTCAGGATAGAAAAGAGGCCATCTTTTTTTCATTACTTCCCATATAGACCCACCAATGGACACATTCTGAGCCATTAATAAATATTCTTTTATCAGACCCCAGGCTCTGATCAGACATTAAAACAAGCCAATAGTGACAGTTCAGTTGTGCAATCAGACAGCAATTATATAACACAACCTCTTTCCTAACAATGTTGTACACACCTTTTGTAGTCATTCTACCCAGAGCACCTGTTTCCAAAACGTATTTATTTCAAACCATGACCCAATCTGCTAATCTGATTAGCAGCCGAATTATAACGAAGCACTCTTATTTTGGGGCAGGGTGTCCCTCAGACATGACGACGGTTCCCCTGAGTTCAACAATGCCTCCAGCTAAGAGGACAGTGGGTTGCTCTTATTAATTCCCTCGTCGTTCATCAGCCTCACCTAGGTGAAGTGTAAATGCTGCCCACTGCTGGGCACTTGCAGTGAAGATCTCATCCTGAACAGAAAGGTAACGGGTGCTGACCGTTTGGGAGCGCAGACGGTTGAAAAGGGAGACCTTTGATCCAGATGAAATGCACACTGTTAGTGTAGCAAGCAGGAAAGAGAAGGATGAAGTTGAGAAAAACATTTGGGTGGTTTTTTGCCTGTAAATTGAAACTGACATCTTTATAGAGGGTCTCATCCTAGTAGCCTTCTTCAGTTCCAACTGATCTAATGTCTCCTATAGCAAGTTGATGGAACGAGAAGCTCTCTTTCTGGCCAGTGGTGCAGTGATAACTTTTGCACCACAGACACTTGTCACAGCAGTCCCTCTAGCTGTGACCCCCCTCCGCCCAGGAGTGTCCAAAAAAAGAAGAAGAAGAAGGCAGGCAGATGTTAATTCATATTAACCAGTCTAATTTTAACAGCTCCCACTCCTAATGAGTGAATCTTTTGTAAAGCTTATGACTCTTAATTGCCTTTTGAAAACAAAGCTATCCCCAACCGCTTCACATTACAACAGAGGCAGCTGAGAAGTGTACATCATTGCTGGAAAAATCCATTCCTCTCTGCTCACCCACTGCCTCTGTTGCTGTGAGGATTGTAGCTAAGGTCTGAGAAGACTTGGAAGCCTTATTGGGTGGGTAGCAGATGGCATCAATTTCTCTGCTAAAAGAAAAAAAAAATGAAAAAAAAAAGAGCCCTAACTCTACTACACCACTGTTTCAAGTATAGTTTGAAATGTTGCTTTTAAGGACAATGCTGTAACATGCTGAACCTGGTCATAGGATGCCTCTTCTTACAAGAAGTCAGTTGTGTATGGTTTCAGCTTGTCACTAGATCCAGTCTTTTAAAAAGTAACTTTCCAAGGTCAGCTTTACAGGAAGCAAGGACAGCCACATAAACAAGAGGACAGGGCTCCTGTATCTGTAATAGCTGCCTGGAACAGAGACTGTCAGCAGGTATTGATTGTCTGACCAGCTACATCTGCTGCAATTTTGTCTTATAGACAAGTATGAAAAGTATTGTAGCCTGCCTTCGTTTCCATGTGACCACTGTAGGAACGCTCATCATCCCACGTGCACTTACAGTCTGTGTTCTTCAAGGACTGCTTCTTCTGTGAAGGTTTAGAGATGACTTTAATAAGCTTGCTGTGGAAAGTGCCAATCTCCTGCCCATTGCTGAAGAAAAGTTTCAGGACCAGCCGGAAGTGTTTCCTCTTGTCAGAATCTGAAATGTATAGGGCTTTGGCACAGCTGAATTCCTGAGTTAAAGAAAGTGAGTTTCATGAGGTGGAAATTGGGCTTGCTGCCTTGAGCATAGGCGTGACTGCCTGTAGATGGGGTGGGGTGGGGAATTAGGGAAGTCTTCCTATGCTGATTTCCTTAGCCAAGGAAGGACACATGATGGTGTGGCCAGGGTGGCCTTATCTTCAGACAGAATGAGGCAAGTGCAGAAGATGGCCACTGAGCCATCACCAAAAAGGTAGACGGACATCACTAAAACAGAGGGCATGGGACACTGAAAAGGAGGATGTCGAGCAAAAACTAAACAATTTTTTTTAAAAAAAGAAGACAAAAATGTTGCAGCACCTTAAAGACTAACTGCTATATCTTAATGGACAAGTCCACTTCTTCATACTTGTCCACGAAAGCTCATATTAAAATATAGCAGTTAGTCTTTAAGCCTTTTGTCTTCTTCTCCCTGTCTGACATACCAGCACAAACTAACATAGCTACCTCTTCTGAAAAGGATGACATTCTTCACAGAAAGCATTAAATGTACATATGCTCATTTAAATTAATATATGTACCCATAATAATTAGACAGTATATAATAATTCAAATGGAAATATGTTACTGCTCACCATATTTCTTAAGTTTGTGACTTGAGGGTAGCCATTCCCAGTCTACTGTACTTGAACCGGTAGTGGCTTCTAAAGATCTCTCACACTGATGCTGTTTGGAGTCATTTTAAACTGAAGAAGCCAGAAATTGAGGCTGGGGGCATGCAAATTGTTCAACACATGCTATTAATCTAGCTAAAAGCTATGAGAAATGCCACAGATCCTGACTGGAATATGAATATTTTAAATTTTGGATTCTGCATCAATGCAGAAGACACATGGGGGCAATAGGTAACATAGATTAAATCTGTGTTTCCTCTTTCTTCTTGTAAATAAAAAAATGTGTACACTAAATTTATCTGGCTAGCTCTTTCTAATTTTTCTTTCCCAGGCAAACAGAACCACTTTCTGTGTCTCAGAGGCATTAGTATCAATCAAGAGAACACAAACTAGTTCTTCAAGAACACTTGTATGTTCATAAGTCAGGAAAGGTTTCAAAAATATCTCTGGGCTCAATGTACAGAGGGCTGTATAAAATATAATTGAACAGTCATTTTTGGCCACAAAACACATAACCTTAGTCTGCTGGCTGGCACTTTGCTATAAAATTTGTCCTAAACCACAGCTGGCATGATTTGAAAAGGGAATTCTCTAAAATGCTGAGGCAGGTAGAATAAGGCAACTGCTCCTGGTAAAATATACTGGAGGTAGTAGCAGACTCCCACCATTCCCTCTGAACCCCCTGTTCGGTGCCCCAATCCACCTGATCAATGAAGTATCAATGAAGGGGGTTGTCCCATGCCCACCACCAGTGCTGAGGTAAATTCTAATTGACTTTCCAGCTAAGATTAAGCATGCACCCTTTTGTTCTTCACCCTGGCAACAAAAAGTCATCTCCTTCCCACTTACCACTAAAATCTGCCACCCAGCTGTCCATGCCTGCTTTTACCTTTTCCATGTACATGAGCTGCAAGTTTTATGTCACCACAAACCATCTCACAAGCAAGCATATACTTATCTATATTTATTTCTAGTAATGGGGTTGGCCTTGACTAATTTTGACTATGAGACACTGCAGCATGGTGTGATTCAAAAATGGCCCTGTTGATCGCTCTGAAACAGTTGCCCCTTAAATCTCAGCAAACCAAGGATGGACTTTATTTGCTCCTCAATCTACATCAAACATTAGTTCAAAATCAAAACTAAAGGTGTGGTCACATGGCAGGAAAGGTCCATATCTGAACACACCAGAAAGGGTTGCTTTGCTGGGAGTGATCTCCCTTAAAGCAAAGCATTCTGATTTACCAGGGAATCGCTCCAGGACCCAAAAGTAGCACCTCCTACTGCTATATAAAAAAGGTCCAGCTTGGGCATGGATCAGGGTCAAGCTGGAGTGCTATGGCCCATCTGTCAAGTGATCACTAGAAAATAGCTCACACCGAACCATGCCACAAGTGGTCTAAAATGGGAGCTATATGCCTGTATGATCATTCCCTAAATGCCCAGTCTTGCAACATACAATCTTGTATATACAGGCAATATACAAATTATGTTTTAAGAAAAAAAAGAGACATATGGGAGACTCAAAATGGTAAGAAACATTCTACGGGAAACAGTTGCAATATTTTCACTCATATCGGTAAAGTTCATTCTGGATGTCATTTATATCTCAGGAGATTTTTTAACTACGAGGCAACTCAATGTTTGCAAATCATACACGGACCACAGAATGTCAGTGCTGTAAATTGGTGGTCCAAATAGCTAGCAGGCAGCTGAACAATGGGATTTCCAAGCCATGGGGTTGGGAAAAAAAATCCTTCTACAATGCAGTGTTTCTTTCATGATATCAACACTGTATTGGTTGTTGGAGGAAGTGCCATCTGAAATCCCGTCATGTGTGAAAAGTATACGTTAATATCCACTTCAAACAGAAGTGTATTTTCTTTTACCCTGCTTCATATAGTAGCTGGCAAAAAAATCCAAACCTGATTTTTTTTCTCCTTTCCCCCTCCAGAGTCTAAGATTTTATGAAGGAAATATTGTTGCCTTTGGTTTCTAACATCTTCCCACTGACATATCTAAAATATAAAGGGGTTTTGTAGTGCTTACTGTTTCAGAATCGGGGGGGGGGGGACATATTTGATCAAAGAGAGTTATTATTGTCATGCACCATCTAATTGTTTCTGACTTATGGTGACCCTATAAACATATGGTCTCTAAAAAGTGATGTCATTAGTAGCTCTGCTTAGGTTTTACAAACTAAATGCTGCAACATCCTTTATTGAGTTTATGTAATTCAGGCAAGGTCTTTCTTTTTTTTTTCCCAGCTGCTTTCAACTTTTCTTACCATTATTGTCTTTTCTAGTGAGTCTTGTTTTCTCATAGAATAGCCTCAATTAATCATTTTAGCCTCTAGAGAGTGTTAAGGGTTGATTTGATCCAGAACCCACTTATTTATCTTTCTCATGATCTGTGGTGTCTGAAAAGCTCTTCTCCAATACATTTTGAATGAATGAATTTTGTTTGTGTCAGCTTTCTTCACTGCTGAGTTTTCATGCCTGCACATTGTCATCAGGAATACCCTTGTGGATGATTGGCCTTGGTCTCTCAAGGAATACATCTTTACACTTCATGATCTTCTTTAGTTCCTTCATATTTCCCTTTCTAGGTCTTAGTCTTCTTCTGATTTACTGAGTGCATTCTCCATTTGGATTGATGGCTGAACTGCATATATGATCTTTAACTATTTCAGTTTCTTCATTGTCAACATTAACATCATATAATTTTCTGTAGTATTTTTATTTTAAAAGTCCAACTGTAATCCTGGCTTTGCACTTTCTTCTTTCATTTTAATTAACAAGCATTTCAAGTTGTAGCTATGTTCTGCTAGGAATATGGTGTCATCTGCATATCTTAAATTATTGCGGGGTTTTTTAACCAATTTTCCGTCCTTCATTTTTTCCATTATATGTTCTGTATAGTGACTGAAATCTTGTTGCTTGGTATACAGTTCACTCTAGAGTAGAACTGTTGCATCAGAGGGGATTTAATGGGTCAAATCCACCATACGCTTAAATGGGCCCACTGTAATTATAACTTATGATAATGTAACTTGCAGCTAGAATAGACTCATTTGAATCAATGGAACTTAACAGAAGAGTTGACTCACCAAATCTTTGATTCAATGGGCCTATTATAGTGTGACTTACTATGCTAAGCAATAGGATTTCAGCCATAAACTAAACAAACACATCCTTGTCTGCCACCTTTGTCAGTTTGAAACCAGTGGTCTCTCCATATTCGGTCCTAACAGGATCTGTTTGTTGTGAGTAGAGTTTATGCTTCAAGATAACCAAATATCTTGGCTCACCCATTTCTTTAAGAATGAATCATAGCTTTTCATGATCCACACCCCCCAATTCATTGTTATGCTCTAATTTATTTATTTATTTATTGGACTTATATACCGCCCCATAGCGCTACAAGCACTCTCCGGGCGGTTTACAATTTTTAATTATACAGGCTACACATTGCCCCCCCAGCAAGCTGGGTACTCATTTTACCGACCTCGGAAGGATGGAAGGCTGAGTCAACCTTGAGCCGGCTACCTGGGATTTGAACCCCAGGTCGTGAGCACAGTTTTTAGCTGCAGTACAGCATTTTAACCACTGCACCACGAGCCAATGTATACTTACAATGTGTTCCCTACAGCCTCTTCCTTTCCTGAACCCACTTTGAACATCTGGCATGTACTATTCCATATATGGAAGAAGTATTTGTTGTAAAATTTTGAAGATCACTTTTCTTGCATGGGAAATTAATGCAATGGTCCTATAGTTATTGCACATGTTGTCATCTATTTTCTTTGGGCCTAGAACGTATATTGAATATTTCCAGCTGTGGACTATTATTTCTTTGTTGATATTTGGTGACATAGTTTTGTTAGGATCTTGATACATTCATTCTCTGTAGCTTAGAGCAATTCTACTAGTATCCCATCTACTCCTGGTGATTAATTTCTTCCAATTATTTGAAAGCAGCTTTCACTTTGCTTTCTAAAGTAATAAGTTCTTCATCAAAAGGCTCTTCTTGGAAGAATGTCATCTTATATCTCTTCTGTACATTTCTTCAATATATTATTTCCATCTTTTCTTTATTTTATTCTGATCAGATCATATATCTTCTTGCTGAGCTTTCGACATCTCTAACCCTGGTTAAAATTTTCCTTTGATTTTTTTTTAAAAAATCTTCTATAAGATATCTTTTGTTTTGCCTTTTAACTTTTTTCTCTTGTTTCTTTGCGACAGATATGATGATTTTCTTATTCAGGATTCTCACTTTTCTTTTGTAACTTTTTACTTTTGCTTCTTGCCCATTTTTAATGATTTTAACAGTTGATCACCCATTACGGCTCTTAT